ATATCGTATCCCTCGAACTGTTGATTTGCTGTCCTTGAATCACTTTGTACGCCATTGTACTCCCGAATTGTTGTACCCTCCAAATTATGTGCCCTTTTTGAAAACCTGTCAACAGAATAAGCTACGGTACCTAGAATATTTGGGGCCATTTCTATAAAGAAAAATTAAGAATCTTTCGAATTCCGAATTCCTACGGCTACAGTATCCTCTGTGTTCAAAATGTGGAATTCGCAAACAACTATCCGAAGTAACTGTGTTATAGTAAAACAAACAATTATTTGTTTGTAACCTTTTTGGTGGTAGCTTTGCTCGGTCTCTGTCCCTTTTTGTTTTCTATCCCCACACACTCATTTGCTCCCTCGTTCGCCCAGTCATCAGCATCGCCGCAAAAACCGTTCAAACCACAATTACTATCAATTAGTTTCTTAATTGTAGTCCATAACATTGTTCTTCTCTTTGAAGAAAAATTTGAATTTGATTGTTTCCTAAAAATCTGCGTTTCAGCCAAAAACTGTTCTTTTGTACTTTTTCAGTAGTACACTCATTTTGTGCTCGGCCGCGACGCGGAGTTCTCCGGTCTCACTGTGTAGAGCTGTAAATGGAACAGATAAAAATGGGCGGTTTAGGGGGGGGGGTGTAGTTGACAAACATTACTACGAAACACTCATTTTTCTTCGAAACAATTTTCACGTCTCAAACATCGGTTCCTCCGGAAATCTAGAAAACCAAACTTTGATTCATGCCCCTCAATTTCAATGATCTAATTAATCAAGTGTCCGTATCCTGACCGCTAGTTGAAAGTTTAAGTATCACCTGTTCAACTTTCCAGAGTTTCCTTGTTGTTTGTTAATTTCAAGCTGCTCTTCTCACAATTTGCCTGATTATTAACTAATTCTGCAAAAATGGACAGGAGTATTTGCTCTGAGCAGAAGGAGAAAAAATCCGCTGCTTCCACCCTCACCATTTTCAGGCTCTAACTGTTTCCTTCATAGAAGCTAGCCAAAACTGAAATCCAAGAATCATGCGAGGTATACTGTAGAGTTATAAATTTGTCATAGTTCCAAAAAAGACTATAAATGAAAGTTCTACAATCAATATCTGCTCAAAATTGCGAAAGAGTTCCTATTACATCGAATTCTTCCTCTTTTTCGATATACGTTATTGCTGGTAGGCAAAAAAGAACTGTTATCTCTCATTTTTCTGTATTTTTTCCTCTGTCGAAACGCATTTCCCCCAGGCCAGCTGATTGCTATTTGTTCTGGGTGTCAATTTGAGATTAGTCACGTTCCGGTAGAAAAAAGTTTTACAACAATGCTTTTTGAACTTGTTTAAAAAAACTTTCAGAGTAACACCAAGTTTCTAAAAACGCTGAAACTATACTCTACATTCTTTTTCACCCATTTTTCCACATTCTTTTGTATTTATTGTATCAGTTTGCGAGGGAGGGGGTGGCAGGGTGGCAGGAGTATTGGTATTTGTTCAGGATCAGTTTAGTTACTCAAATCGTAGGTGACCTCGTTTACATTTCTCGAAAAAAAAACTTTTTTCGAGAGCTCTGGGACCAAGAGTCATCGTTCTCGCTTTTTTTCTTGCCATTTTTTTGAGCTGGAACTGACTGACGTTTCGGAACATGCTCTACTTGACATGGGTTTGATTGATATAAGCGTAGGGGTTTCGCGCTCGAAATGGCCTGTCCACGTACTTTTTCCCACAATTTGATAGTTTTTGTTGTGTGCCAGTTTCACAACTTTTACTTTCACCTCTGATTTCAACGAAATGTGTTGGGTTGATGTTTATTGAGAGTTTCAGTTATCGAATCTTCCTACTTCTATCGTACGTGGACAATTTTCTCACAATTTCCTAATTTTCTGAAAACTTATAAAATCTGGAGTAGGAAAAGTGTTGCTCAGCAATTGCTCATAGAAAGTCATCTACAGTACCGATCAATCAAATATACACATTTTTTTTTCTGTCGGTTTTAGGCGATTTCGACTATTTTCAAAAGTCTAGAGCTCGGCTGTCAAGTTTCTGATTACTTTGTGAACTTTGGGATGTTTAAAACAGATTCAGATGGAAAAATAAGCAGTCACAGAATTTTTGAGAATTTCTAGTTTTTCAGTTATTTACCGATTTATAAGAGACACCTCTTCTTGGCCCGTTTTTGCACTGAAAACGAGAGAAAAAAAACATATTTCTTTCAGAAGTCGGAAAATAGCTGAAAAACTAGGAATTTTCAAAAAATTCTGTGGAGGCGAAGTTTTTAAATTACGTCTGTTTTACACCCTTCAAAATTTCCAGAGTTATCGGAAACTTGACAGCCGAGCTCCAGACTTTTGAAAATGGTCAGAATGACCGAAAATCAATATGTTTTCGTAAACCTTTGTGACCGGTACTGTATTTCATGAATCAAAAAGCTGGAACTTGAACCGTATACCGTTTCGAAAGTCACTTTTCTCTTTAGAACTGACTCATTTTGCCATTTGTCTGTTCCAGAAAACAGTTTCTCGTTTTCTTTTTCCCTATTATACTACAGTTTCCTTTTGTACGCATGTCTGTTTGTATGTGTTTCTTTTTTTTTGAACACATACAAATACAAACACATAGGCGTACATGCATAAATTTTTGTTCAGTATGTACCTGTGTTCCCAGTTTCCTTTTTTCCAACAATTTTTCTCCTATCCCTTTTTACACCTTCTCTGAAATCGCTGCGCTCTATTAGTTTGGGGCGGGAAACCACACCCCATTTTGAACTGACAATATATGCGACACGTAAACACAAAAAGATGGCGTACAATAGAGATAGATACCGGGGGGACAAAAACCGAAGAAAAATGGAAACATGGAGAAAAAATGAGGTGGAGTGGGGGTGGAGAATGGATGGAGAAATCCAGAAAACGACACAGTTTCATGTGTTTTATTGTTTGTAAACCTAGAGCAAAAAGATTGATTGAAGAGAATAAGACATCTCCCTGCCTATCCTTCCTGTCTCCCACACATCCTTGCTCCATTTTCCCAGAATCTAGTCTACCGTATCTTTCCTGCCACAATCGCCATGGGAAACTGCTGCTTTGGTATAGTTTTGCAACTTTTTTGAAGCTCCAATTACTTGTTCATTTTCGAACAATTAAAAATAATAAAAAAAACAACTGAAAATACCGAATTTCCTTCAATAGAAGCCTACGCAAACCATAAACTTTGAGCTCAATTATCCCGATTCCTATGAAAAATATCAAACACCTGTCAATCTTTAAATTATTTATCATAATACTATCAATATTTCATCAGTTGACAAATTAGTAATATCTTTCACAGGAATCGAGATAATTGAGCTTGAAGTAGTCAACTTCGGTAGGCTTCTGCTAGAGGAAAATACGATATTCTTTCTGTTTTTTTTTTCAAAAACCTTCTGACCAAATTTGAGCCCTAAGATCACTTTCTCAAGTTTTCTGACTAACTTATCTCCTAGCTCAACGTCATTTTCCTAACTAAAATCCGTTTATGCTCACCTCATCCGGATATGGGTTTCAGTTTCCAATCCATCTCAAATATGCGTTCTCACGTACTTGTTCTTTCTCACCTTACCCAATGTCTGGAAGTTGTACGAGTCAGACTTGGTCTCCGATTTTCTACCCATCTCAAAATTCAATCTTGCCGCCAATTCATTGCCTTTCAAATCAGTCAAAACCGGTTTTGAAAACTTCTTCTACGTTTATGTCTATCCATTTCCATCACGGAAACTATCCACCCTTGTTTGCTGTTTGTTTTTTCTCCCCGGTTCAAGGTTCTTCCTATTCTGGGATGAATCATTTTATCTATCTCCCTTTCTCGACGGTCTCTTGATTAACAAATTCCCTATTTCTTTGGGATGTGCCGCCTTTCAAAGTTCGTTGCAAAAATTTCGAGTCAGGTCAACAGCAACGGGTGTGGTATGAGGCAGAGATTCGGCCAACCCAAAAGTCAACCCGAAAAAATAAAATCAAAAGAAAAAAATAAATGAGATGGAAAGTTGCCATGCAGAACTTCTCATCGTTCGCCTAACCATCAGTTGCCACGATGAACTGATGTTATTGCCCGACAAAACATGTAATTAGCCATTGATGACGCGATAGTACTCGGGTTAGAATCGACAGTTGTTTTGTGAATGTGGATCGAGTCAAGATCCAAATGGCGAACTGAGTGATTACGTAGACAGTTACGTCAAAATTCAGCAGATCCTAAACATTGCAGAACGATCTTTTCTTTTTTTCAATTCGCAAATTTTCCCCATTTTCTAAAGACCCGACCTGATATTGATTTACACTACTAATCCCCCTAATTGTTTTGATCCGAACGTTAAAATTTTAATTCCCGGAAGTACATGATTATTTTGACATCACGAAGCCATTTCATTTCCCCCTCTGTGTGTTTTCTTCTTTAACTTTTTTTTCAAATCCTATTTGATATTTATTTAATTTTCAAATCATAGACTCATCATGTATTAGGTCATTCTAAGTCACTTGCAGATCATCCTCCCACTCCGAAATCCCTAACACTTCTCATTCTGTTAGATCAGAATTCATTTCAACTTTCTCTGATCTTAGGCATCACAAAACGTTTGTTCTTATTCACCCAGGCTTCATTTTTACTTCTCCATAAATTTTTACCTTCTAGATTTTCCACTCACCTACTGGAAAACTCATCCCCACAAGCCCACCCCCAAATCCAACACGATCAATTGAGACGCCTGATTTCAGGTCCTGTTTAGGAGGACTGGCTCAGAATCTGTGATATGTGCATCTACTAGCGAGCAGTGGTCCGCAGCTTCCCATGCAGTACACGCGTCAGGTATTTATCAAGTTTTCAGAATTTGAGTAAGAAGTGAGTACTGTAGTTTTTTTAAATTAACGTGATAATTGAGTTGAAGAGTGGAGAGGTGTTCCAAAAGTTTTTGGCTTCATCAGCACTTATTTGATCTGAAAATTCTATTAGATAATTTTTGAACTTTTTTTTTGTTCTTTAATATGATTGCAAAGTGCTGTTCAGACCAAAAAGATGTTTCTTTCAAAATTCAGAAATCAACTATTCCAGGAAGTTTGCATATCGTTCTTAAAATCATCTCGATGGAAAATCAAGAAGGCGGATCTTCACAACAGGTCAGTACCTATTTTATCTTGTTTTCCTCCTGGTACAAATCCGTCGAATAAACTACTCCAAAAACAAACTGTAATGATTTAGGTTATCTAAATCACATTTGACTATTTATTATTGATCAACTCTTCAAAAAATTCTTTTTGAAATCTTAAATGTTGTTTCTTAGAAAATCTCAGGTAATTGATAATATTCTGGATATCAAGTAGAATTTAAGAATAGTGATTATAACCCTCTGAATTGTTGACTCCTACTACTGCTCTTTTCACTTGTGCTTAATGTTTAGAGTTAGGTTAAGTTAACATTTCGAAAATTCGTATAGATTAATCTATTGTCAAAATCTTCAATTTTTGTGAGTGTTATTACACAACGGTCCTAAATCCTTTGAGCCTTCTGCAAACGGCGATTTTTGGGGAAATGAAATAATAGAATTTTGAGCCGATTCTGTATAAAACTTCATCCGAGTCGAGTGTAATCTTATTTTGACTCATTTTTTCTTCCGTTCTGACAAAAAGCCAATTCTTTGAACGATTTTTTGTTGATAAAAACTAAGTAGGTTCAAAATTTTTTGTTCAACACAACAATGTTTGGAAACATATGACGTGATTAAGGTTTAGAAACTACTTGAATAATTTAGGATGATGTGTTTGGAAAAAAATCCTATAGCGTTGGTCTCACGCGAAAATCTGATCGGTTTTTAGGAAATCATAGAACACATCGATATATTTTTAGATAGAAAATCCTGACATACTCTGTCGCAAGCGAAGAGTCGATCTTACAGATTGCGGCCATTCCGTCATTGCTCCACCAACAAACGCTGCCGTCAGCGGCGGCTACAGCCTACAGAAGTCACGCGTCAGAAAGTCAAGATGAGCTGTCCCCCACGAATTCATCGCGTATGTGCTCCTTTTATGATTTCATTTTTGGCTAGATTCACTAATAGTGCATTTCCTCTAAACCTAAAATTATTATTTTTCCTCTCCTCACGTGTTGTGATTGACAGTTAGCTTGCAATTCTCAGATTCGGTATCACTAACAATTTGTTATAACCAAAGAATAGTACAACCTTTTTTTTGTGTTCTCTCCAAATTTTTGTTCCTTTTTTGAGCTCTTTGGGCATGCTCTCTCTCTCTATTTCTTCATTCCCCAACATCCGGACTTTCGCTTGGATAGGTGTGTGGAAATGGGCGCCTCCTTTATTCCGTGTAGTTTTTTGTTGTACATAGTAAAAATGTTTTTTGTTGCTTCTATAATATTTTCCCGCCTTTTTTTCTTTTGTTCGGGCAAACACATACACTTTTCATTTCTCTCTATCCGTCACCTATAACTCATAAGTGTTCCAGAAGCGCCGACACCGGCTGGCCCGATCAGCGCGTTCCGCTTCTCATCCGCATTTTTTAACCCTGATATTTTACGTAATCTAAATATTCAGAAGTCCTCTCCACCAAGTGAGAAATGAGTTTCAATGAACACTTGAGAATTTGTTCCAATTTTCAGATCAACCTACAGAAGACGTTACACCTCCACAAGCATCGCAATCATCATCGGATACCCCTACTGAGCCCCCACCACCACATACAGTACCATCAACATCAAGGCCTATCGTCATCCATATAGCGCATCCTATCCCTTTAGCCCTTAACAACGAACTATTATCAAATTCAAATTCTGCAGTTGTTCTAGGAGACTGGATAGGGTGTCGTGTGTTGGCACGCGTTCCTCCAGGTGTCTATCAAACGGGCTACGTGAAACAGTCTTCCAATAATCGTAATGTTCTGGTGCAGGTACTAGGAAATTTTTGTTTGGAAATTAATCAGAGTTATCACTTTCAGTTAGATGATGGGAGAGAGGCGAGATATGAAAATATAATCCACGAGTTTAATTTAACACTGGTGATTGCTGATCAGGCTCCAACTATTGCAGAAGTAATTTTACTTAAAATAATATAAGTTCCACATTGATTGTTGTTTCAGCTTACTCAAGTTAACGCTAATCCACTTCTGGCGGTACGATTACCATTGGAGAGGTCAGAATCTCTTTACCGAACTGCTCAACTTGTAAAACCGTGTGTTGAGAAAGATGCAAAGTATCTGGTAAATCAGTTTTTATCTTCCGTAAACAGTCTAATAGAATTCCACTCAATACTTGAACTTCGAAATAAATTATCTCGATTTCTGAGAAAGATATCAAAAAGTTGTCACCTGATAAATTAATAGTAATATTATGATAAACAATTTATTGACAGTTTTTTGTTATTTCATATAGAAGTAGAGATAATTGATCTCAACGTGCAATTAGAAGATGGCCTTCCATTAGAGTGTTTACGGCATATGTCGTTCCTTTGACAAAATGAGGAAATTTTACAGGTGAGAGTCACAGGAGCTCCTTACGCTAGTCTTGTAAGTCGAGCTAACATCAGATTGCTTCGACCGCCCTGGTATGAAGACTTGATGCAAAAAACTAGCGGGTGAGTAGATGTCCGCTGACCTTTGATGTGTTGTGATAGATAATTTCATCATATTCAATTTCAAACTTTTTCTTGATAGCTGCATAGAGTCAGACAAAGACATTCATCTATGTTAATGACGCTCTGAAAAAGTTGACCGTCCTTATAGTGTTGGCAATCCTTAATTTCAGTACATCAACAAACCCTTCATCAAAATCAGAAAATGGTGGACGACGGATATCCAGAGAGAACACTTCCTTGTTGATGACTCTACAACAACAACGTTCACAGTACTTTCAAAATGTACCGTCCGTGTAAGTGAAGAAGATTTTCGAATTTTTAGCATTTATCTTTTTTCCATTGCTATTTTATCAACACATATAATTATTTGTTTTCAAAGAAAGAGAACACAGCAAAAACCCAAACTTCTAGAGTATAAGTTTGTCCTTACCACAGGACAATGACAACTAGAGAAGTCAGAATAAAAAAATAAGACATGAAAGATTATAAGCTTGTTAGTTGGATTGATTTTTAAGTTTGTCTTTCAGCTCCTCACCAACATCATCAAATCAGGTAGTAGCGTTGTCCCCACCTGCTGGAACTGTCACTATTATCGATCCCACGACACAGCCAGGTTCATCTAATCGAGAATCAAGCTCGAAGACTGTGTCAGTGGATTCGGACGAAGAGATTCCTGGATCTTCTAATCAGGTGAGCAACTGATTGTCTGAAATTATTATTTTTCAATTTTTGGGATCCGATGAGTTGAGCACTTAAATAAGTACATGGATTATGGATTAGTTTAAAATAACAAAATTGAAGTTTCAGAAGAACCTAATCCTGATAAACTTGTCTACTAACGTTTTCTGATAGATCACACGTCATCTTTTTCCATAAGTAAGGAGGATATATTTTCAAGAAAAGAATTCTCCTTAACAATTGTCTCTCCCTCAAATCCTCATTTTCTAGGCACCCACCCTATTCATCAAATCACACTAGTAATCTTGATTCGACAAAAACCACTAATAGTGTTAGAGTAACAACAAAGAATCTTAGCCTCTACGTCGCATTCTCAAGAATATATGAAATATGAAAAACACCTCTACGAGGCTATTGTCTCTAGCCCATACGGTAATCCCTTTTTTCTTCTCGTATATCCACTCATATCCTTTCAGGATCAGTCGGCTGAACCGTCACCGAACCCAGCTGCACCTCGCTCATTATTCGTGAATCCGTCACAGGATTCGGAAATATTTGAAGGAGATTCTGAAGGTCAGACGACGAGCGTGTTTCAGAACATTACAGCGCCTGTATGTGCGACAAAAGCGATGTTAGATCAGGTGAGTTCCATTAAAAACTATTGTTTTTCGTGACTTATAGTTCTTATCAGTTCCACATAGTTTCACTTTCCATTTGTCCAATTTTCCGTTAATGTGATAACCCCATTAATCTTACAGCAGCGTTTCAAAAAAGGCGAAATCGTTACGACACAGTGCGGTATTCGAAAAAAGTTCAATGGCAAACAGTGGCGGCGTTTGTGTTCAAAGGAAGGTTGTAATAAGGTATGGTTGTCCATGGGTTAATGTGACCGGCAAAAAAATAACAGAGTAGATTGTGATTAATGTTTTTAACGTGCCCTTTTCTTCTTTTTTTTTCATTTTCTTTCTCCATGTTCCTCATCAAGTTTTTTTTGTTTCTCGACAAAAAGTTAATAGCAGTGACCACGATCACAAGATCCAAGAATGAGAGGAATTCAAAGTACTGTGTTTCAGGCTATTTTGATCGTTTTGTTTTTGGACACAGAGTGCTTATCAAATTGCCGATTAAGATGATTTAAGAAAACATAAATCAAGTTCAGTATTTACCTACTGTCAACACTCTAATAGAAGGCCACCCAAGCCGTTGACTTTGAGGTCATATATCTCGGTTCCTGTAGAAGATACAAAAAAACGCTTAATAAACAAAATATTTTTAATATTAGGATAAAAAGAATGTCAGTTGACCCTTTTTATCTTCTACGCGTACTGAGATATATGAGCTCAAAGTTGACGATTTGGGTGGCCTTCGTGTTTACGCTATTTTCATTGATTTTTGAAAATTGGCAATTGTTATTTTCAGAATTTTTGCATAAAATCATCCAAAGTAAATTTTCTAGCACAAGAAAAATCACAAATTTCGAAATTTTTTTCGAATTGTTTCTCACATTCAGAAAAAAATTTGATTGGCAATCATAAAACCAATGAATGAAATCTGAAAACTGTTCCAATAGAGAAACTCCCCAAAAAATTTTTTTTGATCATATGAATTTTTCTAGCCCCCTCCTTCCCACACGGCGGTTCCCAAATAACTCTGATTACTGTGATCATATCAGTCAGAAACAAGTAGGAAAAATATGGCAAACGAAAACGAAATCTGTATCAAAAATAACATTAGCAGAATTAGAATCAAGACGTAGGTCAGCCAGTCACACGTTTTCCCCAGAATGAATTACGACCTGACAGCTGGTCATTTTCTCCTCTTCCTAATTTTTGTTTCATCATTTTGAATGGAGACCATCGTTGTTCACAAATATTTCATGAAGGAACTTGGTGAAAACGAAATGGATACCTCTAATCAGGTGACAAATAGAGGGGAAAAGTCATCTGTTTTAGACTTGCGCATCTTCTTTTTTTTTTCTTCTCCTCCAGTAACTTTCAATTTTAACACAGCGTACTTTTCTAACAAGAGTTTCACTTTATCATCACATCATCTGTTTCTATCGGTTACATCGAAACTAAAAACAGGTGATAAGATAAAAAAGATAAGGTTTTGAAATTCCAGGAATCACAACGCAGAGGATACTGCTCACGACATCTGTCCCTCAAAAGTAAACCACCACACGGACATCATCTAGAACGGGGCTCACCTGGGAACAGTAAATCAGGTACGTGGGTGAGAAATAAGATTATGATGTAAAACCTTGGGTTAATGAGAATGAAGTAATCAGCCAGACATAACTTTAAAGTCTAATACCTTAATCCTTATATCCTCCTTACTTGAACTTTCTAGAAAAAAGAGAATATTTTTGAACTTTCTAGAAACAGTTAGACAAGTTTAACAAATTTATAACATTTCGGTGTTAGTCATAAATGAAATCTTTGCCAAATTTGAGAAGTTAAATGAGCTCCTTTACTTCGAACCAATTTTAATCAGTTCCTGTAACTGACACTAAAAAAATGAATGAAATATTCAGATTGTTATGAAATACTGCTATGAATATTTCTTTATTCAACCATTTTAGCTATTTTTTGACCAGAAATTAAATGCCTAGTTGTTCATAAAAACCTAATTTTGTATATTCTGAGTTTTCCTATTTATCGTTTTTTCTTTATTCTGATTCCTCATTTCTGATGCCAATCCTTGGTAGTCAAGTTATCGTAATCTTCGAATTTCAAAATCTTATCTTTGGCTTATTTTTAGTTGACTTTTCGTGATAGCTCTCCGAGAGCATCCCGTTCAAAACGAAATTCCGAAACACACAAATTTATATTTTGTATCTATACAACTATAGAATCTTGTAGTTCTCCTCTTTCTTCTCACCGAATTTTGTTCTCTTTATTTTTTCAAGTCCTTATCCGTTATCAACGCGAGAAATTACTATTTCCCGCAACTCCTGCGCCATTATTATTTATGGTTTGTGACTTTTATTCCAGTCGGGGTAACAAACTGTTGCTTCTATTCTTGAACAAACAAAAAACCGTGTGTAGATGAGGGGAGAGGACTGTTTAAATGGGTATAATTAAAGGAAAAAACGACGTAAACTTTTGATAAGAGACATGACGTTTTGATGAATGAAAAAAAGTGAAGACGCTCTGGAGCAGTGTGACGAACTATCAAAATTTATGCGGAATCACAAACTGATTAGGACACTTTTTGTAGCATTGTTCTTTTTGGATGTTATGTATTTGTGTGTCATCCAATAATGATACAAAGAGCGTCTGATATTTAGCATGGCGTATTTTATGAAAGACTATGAGCCGCTTATGACGTCCTTGTCATAGTTCAGTAGCTTCTCATCAGCACTGACTAAAGCCGAAAACAATTTTAATGATCTTTTGACTGAATGGAGCTTTTTGAACTTTTTTCCTTTTTAGCCAGTCAAAAAGAACAACCGAATCTTTATATAAAACATGTCTTTAGACTTCCGATGTGCACTTCTGTGCCATTCAATTCAACAGAGAAACGTTTTTCGCTTTTCTATACCCTTCAGCCATTTTTACCCTTTCTTTCAGAAAAAAGGACGGCAATTTAGTCTATTCGCTTTTTTATTGAATGGGTTGGAGGTTGTTCCTTATAAGATGATTGAGAATTTTTCAGAGTTTGGCGAACTCCGCCAGTCTTTTTTAGAAATTTAGAAGACCGACTAGTTAATAACAAGTCAATTTCTTTATGGCAGGGTGAGACTAGTTTTCCGAAGCATACCGTAATCCTATAAGAAGGAATTTTCGTGTACTTTGCTGTGAGGTGTCATCAGACTTGCAAGATTAGATGCCAAAGTCATATTTAGAGTCAGATTCCAGATCAAACGGATCAGAATATCATCTTGGTCCATTTCTGAAATTGGAAAAAATACCTCAAACCTAGGCAGACTTCATTTCGCTTGAAAATTTTCTTGGACAATGTTGTTGCCATAGTACGATTCTCATTTATTTTCATTTTCATGACTGTCCGCCTGCCATACAATTATTCCAATAAGAGTACGGTTTTCTTCTTGTCCTCTTTCCATATTTTTCTTCTCTTCTTATTCTTCTTCTCTATCATCCATCCACAATATTACGTTCCTGAATAGTTGTACACTTGCCTTCTTCTTTCTTTTAGAAAATTGTTAGTCTCCAAAAAAATTCTAGTAGGTTAGTCATGCTCTCCAGAGAAGATAGGCATAGGTGTTTTTTTTTTGTTGAATAGGGCAGGACAATCACCGGTCAGGATGAGTATTAGTAGTACAGTTTGAAACCGCCCATTTTTGCCGTTGGGTATGAAAATATGGGTGGTGGTTTGGAAAATGTATCAGTCTGGAATTTATCTGTACTCTTTTTTGTTTCCTGATACTTCCCTTTTATTTTTTTTGAAAAAAAGAACTACAGTTTGAATGATGTGAAAAAGGCTTCTCGGATTACACTACGCAACACTGGCCTTTTCCTTTTTTTGAAGAAGAGCTATACTAGTTCAGGCTCCATTTCATCCGAAAACCAAAAAATACCAAAAAATAAGAGAGTCAAAAAAATAAAAATCACTGAAAAAATTTAGACTGCTGCTTTCCAAAAATAATTGTTTTTCGCTGATGTTTTTTACAATTTTCATCACTTTTCACATCAAAAGTCACACTTTCCCGTTTTTTCTCTACCCACTCATTTGGTGGGGCAGGTGAAAATTAGGAAAAAAGTGATTTCGTTCGGATATATAAATGGAATATGGTGGGATTTCCCACCAGATATTTTTCTGTGCTTTATTTTTTGTGCAGATAAGCTCTGAATCTTAATTCTTTGTTAGGATCTCAACAGATCTAAAATAAATGAAAAACAAGAAAGATTATGGTCAGAATTCGGAGAGCTACAGCATCCAAATCTGATCTGATTTCTCTTGTCTAGGTTTTTTCTAATCTTTTAAGATAATTTGCCTATTTCATCTTGTTTTCTGATCATCTTTGCTCACACCCCCGACTCTCGTATAAAGTTCAGCTTGATTTGCATTTTTGGCGGAATCATGAAGCACTCATTGACGCAAGTGTCGTCCTATCATCTTTAGAGTTCTTTTTATCCACCCACATCACTTCTTATTCGGACTTTTAATTCAGTGTCATTACTCTGTTCATTGTTAAATAAGTTTTTTCAAATAATTGAATGTTGCAATTTNTGATGAATAGTCAATTATAAAAGTTTCCCATCCATTAAACCAGAAAAAAGANNCTTAGGGTACAGAGTTCAGAATTCAAAGTTTGTTTCCGAAACAATTTAGTGTTAGTACTGTAATTCCTTTTTATAATTTTTTTTTTCAATAATTGGTGAACTGAGAAATTAGTTATCATAGTATCACCAATATTCTATCAGTTTACCAAATTTAGATATCATTTACATAAATCGAGGTAATTGAGCTCAAAACTGTTTACGGTATCCACGATCTGAAAATAAAATACGGTATCCATGAATTTTGTTAATTCATACTATGAAATAACTTTGAATTTGCTTTTTTCTTGAATCACGATCCTCAAATTTCCAGCTTATCAAATTTATTTTCAGATCTGTTCCACCCGGAATCATCAGTTTTCTTGCAAAGCCCATCATCTTCTCGAGTGCCTACCACCGTCAACTCAACTGCTTTTTCTGGCAAAATCAATCCGTTATCAGCACCATCCACCCTCTTATCGGATAAAAATTTGCCTCCTCATTTCTCGGTGAGTATGAACTTAATAATTATGTCATAACCTGAATAGAAACAGATTTTTAATATTTCGGCATACACAAAATCAGATAATGTTTCTAATACTGACATGAAATCCTGATAGTAAAGTCTGATTTGTGACGAAACGCTCTTTGAAGATTTCTGATTCCGATTTTGGAGAGAAACGTTTCCATTCTTGAAATCAACAAAGACTACAAATATAGCTAACAGTTAATTTAATTTGTTTATTGATCAGGTGTAATAAAACATTAGAGGGCAAAACATGAAAGACTCAGAAAAAATGCCCCTCACGAGGCCGATCTGAGTAGGGGAGGGGAAACGGGATAATTTAGATATTTGACACAGGAAAGATGTAACCGGTAGAAAAAGAAAAATAGGGAGCAAATATATCAATAACGGGTAATACTGGAACAAATTAAGGATTCAAACTCGGAAGGTAGGAGAAATCGGGTAACTTGGGAAGTGATGGCGTTCCACGGGGGAACAATTGAAGAAAAATAGTCAGAGGAGTAGGGCTGAACAATAATTAAGTTCATAGGGCGACGAGGGGAGGAGGAGTATTTGACATGTGCATTTAGTTTAGGAAAGTAGGCGGAGCCATTTAAAAATTTATAGAGAAGAATTAGTTGAGCTTTAGTTATTTCTGTAATTATCAAGTTTCGGCAACTGTTATTCACAATGTGATACACATCACTATTTTCTGATCGATGGTGTCTAAATGAACCGATCATCAGTTCATTCAGAAAAAAAAAACTTTTTTTCAAACAAGTACATAGTATCACCGTGTTTTGTATTTGTTGACCAAAAGAAGATCAATCCATGCAAAGAGTTCGTATAATACGCTATTTTTGGTTTTCCTCTTTTTACTCACTTCTCTCGGGTCGTTTATGTTTTCCATTTCGGCCATTTTTCTGTTTCAATGAACTAACCGTCAGTCATACTCATACGCTTCATTCGACTCAGTTTTGAAACCCGCCGCGAAACAAAAAACGCAACGTGACGTAGCCACCGTTTTTGACTACGTCGCCGGATTGGTGATCTGGTCGCTCCGCTCACTGGGACCCCATTTCCTACTGGCCTTTTTTTTCACTCTCAAAAATCGTGTGAAAAAGGTCGGAAAACTGAACTGCTCTGAAGAGGAGCTCCTTCCAGAAATCTGATATTCAAAATGGGGGCACAGCTCTTCAAAATGCCCTCACTCTCCTTTCGGACTGAATTTGATCCCTCATACTCTTTGCAATTTCGCTTTTTTTCTCCAGTTTTTTCTATGGCAAATAATTAAAATGGGCAGCATTAAAACTCCGAAAATGTACAATTTTCCAGATCGAACGAGCTCAACAAATTCAGCAACAGTTGATGCAACTCGGAAACGTCAGATTTGAAAATCAGTTTCAGCAGGTGAATATTCTTAATAAGTTCAGTGGCAATTATTGAGTGGGTTGCATTATTGGCCACTTGTGTGGGAGGTCAATCTGAAATTTTGAAGGCTATTCAATTTTCGGAGATACAAGTATTAGAAGGGGTACTTTCAATGAAGAACACCACTAATGAGAGATAGGAGCCTTTTATACAAAATAAAGTTCAAATTGTTTACTTTTTGAAATTCAGACAAAAATGCATCAAAAACTTTAATTAACATTTTGAGAAAATAAAAAATCTTCTTGATATATAAAACGCTAGAGGCGTCTCTTGGTCCTCATGTCACGCTGTCCGGTTTTGGGTTTTTAAATGAAAGGTAGGCCGCCACCAAAACTGAACACGCGGCCTTTCGCACAACGGCTGCGCACGCACACAGTTGCGCCATGAGTGCCACACGAAAAGAGGAGAGGGAAGGCGTAGATGTTCTACAGTGTGAGAAAAAAAAACATTGAAAAGTGAGGGGTGTAGAGACGAATCAGTAAAAAATATTGAATTGCGCCGGAGGCGCAGCTGGACTTTCCGTCACATGTTTTACGGTACATTTCCAGAAAAATCATTTTAGCGTGGATATTCAGCCAATCAGTTGTCGTACTCTCCCGTTTCAGATCCAACAACTTTTGATGCAGCAGGTACCACCAGGTCGACGACCTGACCTCCCACCGATGACACAAGCTAACAACGTGTTCTGTCCTCCATTGAGCCTACCAAACACCTCAGGATTATTCAATTTGAATCCAGCTCTTCTTTCTCAACTTACCGCTCCACTTATTCAACAACATGCTCAAGCTCTACTTCAGCAACATATGACCGCACAGAATAATCAAGTCAACAACAATAATATTAAGCAAGAAATCAAGGAAGAAGAGCCGGACGAGGATGACGATGATATTATTGGAAGCGACAGTTAGTAACTCTCCGATCTTTCTAGCTATCATTGTCTTTTCTTTTTTAGACGTCAGTTATTGTCAAAAGACAGAAGAGCGTTCGGACGATGATGATGATGAAAGCTCAGGAGGAGGAGGCGGCGGTCTCGCGTCAACAGGATCCACAAATCCAAACGGGTCTAGTTCAAGTACGTTGTAAGCGGAGCCTAGCTTCAATAAACCCCCGGGATCATCCTTAAACCGCCATCTTTTTGACGCTTTTCTACATTACATTTTTCAATATATAAGCTAGCCGGGTAAGGAATTGATATCACCACCACTTCTTCACACCTACGATATACTAATCAAAACTTTTCATTAGTGATAGAACAACTTGTTGCTAGATTAAAATTTTATATTGCTTTTTGGGTAGCTATACTTACTGAAAACATTCATTGCTCTTTTTGAATCATTCTATATAAAATTGTTCTGTTTCAGATTTTGCAATTCACTCCGCTCCAACTGGTCAATCCAACGTAGCAGCACCAGAAGATCACAATCGCACCCAGAAGAGTAACTCGCGAGATTCAAGTGCAGAACTGAGTAAGTGACCCTATCTTCAGGTTTTTATTTCATATCTTTCATTACTCATTAATTGAGTGCCACTGTGTGTTTGTTTTCCGTTCATAAATGTTGCAATTTCATTCTAACCTTCTTCTTCTTTCTTCATTTTATTTGTTTTTCACCCCTATTTCATTGCTCATCTTCTTATAGAGTTTCCAAGGACTTCGAAAATAGGATCTTCAAAAACGTCCTTGGTATTGTTCTCACCTCTTAAAGAATATCTGTCCTTTAACGTCTATATTTTTTGATACTCGTGAAGTCAAAATATTTTTGAAATTTAATTACGCTTTCGTGTTCAGATGTCTGGTATACGGTAGCTCAAATATATGTGTTTTGACATTTTACATTTAATGATAACAAGATCAGAAATGTATTATTCTGTTTTTTCGAGCTTTCACTAATCCCCTCGAAATCAATAGAATGTTGCTAGTGAACTGCGACATTCATACATGTTTCCGAACTAATCCCAATATGAACACCGCTGATTTCTATTATATGAATGGTGAGAAAATTTTCCATTGAAAATTAGAAATGTGGGCGATGAGAAGAGTTCTCATCGGATTGAATCATTCGTGAGAGTTCTGAGAATTCAAGTTTTGGAAAAAAATCATTTCTATTAGAATTTTCCCACTATTTAATTAAAAAAGGAAAGTTGCAGACATAGCTATATCGAATTTCAGAAAACATAAAGGCAAAAAGTTTGTTTGTCTATGTTCCCTGCCTCGATTTCTTGGAGCTCTGCTCATCTGACCTTCTCATGACGTCCGATGTCCATCCTTTTTCCTAAACAAACGTCCCCAACGTCCACCCACCATTTCCTTTTCTTATTTCCACCCACTTCTATCACTTTCATCCATTTTCTATCTTAATCTTCGTATTTCTTCTCCTGATTTTTTCCTTCTTAAGTTAGAGTTGAGTGATATCATCATCAGAATTTCATTCTCACTTTCTAATCTCAATTTGATTGTAGAGGTCCGGAAGTGAGGTAGTAAGAGGAGAATGAAAATGAAATACCAATCAAATCAGCATAAGCTATTGAATTTCGGCTCAAATGGCTTATCTCTATTTTAAAGAGAAAACGCAAGGGTTAGAGTTGAGATAGACATCAATTCCTTAAGAATTGAATATAACGTCATATTTTCTAAATTGGTATTTGAGTAGACATGAAGTATTAGTTCCTATCTTTCTAGCTGTTTCACTCAAAATTTGAAATTCATCTCTTTCGAGCACATACCTTGAATTCATTAATAGAAGGCATGTGCTTGCCTTACGAGCTCAATTATCTCGGTTCCTTTACAAGATATGAACAATTTGTAAACTAATAAAATGTTTTCATTTATATTGTCAACATTTTATCTGTTAACACATTTGAGGTATTTTTTGAAAGAACCGAGATAATTGAGATTAAAGGCAGGAATAGAACGATCATCTAATAGAGCATTTGAAAGAGATTCATTGTTTTGAAAACTTTGAAATTCGTTATCCATAGATTTTCACTTCAGTTCAAATTTGAATTAACCATTTGTCTGAAACAGTGTCTTTTTTTCAGCTGGTTACGACATGTCTGATGTTCTATCAGTGGAGACCAACTCAGCTGGTCCACCGTCACTTCCGTCACAGGTTTGTTATTTGTCGTCACTACTACCACACTTTTTACGTCCTCTTAATGAGTTCTTCATACCGAGAACAAAGCCTAGAACACATCTGATCATGCGTTAGACCGTGTATAAAATAATGAGAAGGTAGTGATGGTGTGTCGAATTTATTCACAGGCTTCCGCGTAGCCCATCCCATCAAAAATTTTCCATTCTTACATTAGAGCTCACCGACGTAGACTTATATAAAGTTTGCGCTAACTTCAAATCTTGGACAAATATTATTTCTCACCCCATCCATTTCAGCCATCATCAGCCTCAATCGGCAGCAGTGTAAACTCAGCGTTCCGATCACCAGGTTTGTTAATTCAACTATCTTCTTTTTCTCACGTTGATCCTTATCATTATGGGATCAAAAAGAGACCGAAACTAAAACCTTTTCATTTTTAGTGAAAATTGAGCCAAAAGATGACTATGAGCAGTTGCCAATAAAAGAAATGATTGAAGTCAAGCGAGAGGTTTTTCTGAAGGCGAAGGAGAGACGACGTTCTAAAACTACAACAGTAAGTTTGATTATGGTATTAGAATTTTTTAAAATCTAGTTTAGCCTAGATTCTAGGCAGCCTAGAAATATGTATTGCTAATTGATTGAAATGGACTTTTGGCCTAATTCTTATCTCATTTTTAATATGGATTCTGCATAAAAATGAAAATATTGAGAGCGGATATCTTTAACTTTTTTTTACTGACAAAGAACGAACTACCGTATTCTTTAAGCCTATTGTAAATACTATTTTTCCGTTTTGTCAATTTTTCGACGATCCTTTTAGGGTTTTCGAGAATGTTACAGTGTTTATTCTTATAGAAGCGCACCCAAACCCGTAAACTTTGAGCTCAATTATCTCAACTCCTGAAAGATATCGAAAAATGGTCAATTGATACATTATTTATCATGAAAACATCAAAATTTTAACAGTTGACAAATTTCTGATATCTTTCACAGAAACGGAGATATGTGTTTGGGTGTGCCTCTAATAAAATACGGTAATTGGGGAAAAAAGACCGAAATTATTAAAAAATGAAGAAAGAAATTGAGGAAGTGGGAAATCATTACTCGTTGTCATGTCTTTAAAAATTTAACAAAAAAACCGTTCTCTACTTTTTTCTCCCCCTGAATCCATAAGCAGCTATTGTTTTTCAATAGATAATAATACAAAATAACTCAGCGTGCACCGCTCCTTTCAGTAAGAGAATTTCCCACATCCCTCACATTTTTTAAGGTCATCCCACGCGTTCGTCGCCCGATGAATGCGTTCATGCTGTTCTCAAAACGTCACCGCCCGCTGGTCCACCAAGAAAACCCAAACAAGGATAATCGAACAGTGTCCAAAGTTTTGGGTCAAATGTGGTACTCCTTGACGCCTGCTGAAAAAGCGGAATATCATAGCCTCGCCCTTTTAATCAAACAAGCCCACTACAAAGCCAATCCCGACTGGAGATGGAGTACCAAGGAGAAAAAGAAAGCCAAGTCCGAGTCACTGCACTCAACACCTATCGCAGTTACTCCGCAAAAAAACAAGGTATGTTTTGCCGGTGTGTGGTCTTTCTTTAGAGGTTTTGCACACACTTTCTTGCTACAAACAATAACAATGTATTTACAGATCTTTGATTTTGACTTCCGCCAATCTGATGATCTAGCCAAGTCCTTTGTCGATGGCACAGCGATGCTCAGCCCAATGACCCCAATGACACCTGGAGCATCAGTGTTCAGACACTTGTCTTCTTCACGTGACCCTCTCCAGCCCGCTCCATCATGCTTCGACTTTGCTTCATTGTTGAGTCCGAGTCTGTCGGCCACATCTGCGAACACTCCCAGTTTTTCCGGATCGCCAGCTCTATCTTCATTTTCATTGGATTTTGAGAGGTTCCGCCAAGGAACTAATGGGGTTGGTAGAACAATTAGAACAGTCTTAAATTGGTCTTAATCAAAATTGATCTTTATTTCAAAACCGGTATTATTTATTGGGGGAAATAGAAGAGAGAGAAAGTTTTGTTTCACTTTATTTTATTTGAATCGGGCATCGACAATATAATGACTAAACACCAAAACCAATAAGAATTCTTCTTTCTCTACGTGACATCCCCACTTCTCTAATTAGAGATCACAACAACATACAGTAACTCTTCATTCATCCATTGATTTCAGAGGTACCCCAACGTCTTCAACCCGGCAATGATGAGTTCACTGGTCAACTCGTCAACACCGCTATTGCCCATGTACGGCAGTACCCCAACAGCTGACACATCCTCATTCTACTCGCCCACTGCGTCTGCATTCCGCGTTCTGGTTAGTTTGACGAGTATTTTGATAATGTTTGGAAGAGATAACGGACGTGACTGTGAGGAGAGACTTGATCAGAAACATGTTGCATCAAATTAGTGGGAGGCCTTGATATTAATTGACTAGTGAACTGAAGAAAACGTAGATGAAGAAGATTGTTTTTTGTGTTCAGAATCCCACAATCTCCTCTCTTATTGGTGGCTTCTCGTCAGCCGACTCTGTCACGTCTCCACTTCTGAACATCACACCAACAATGACGATGAAGGTACTATACTTTTATCACTCTATCCGTTTCTCATCATTTTATTTTTCTCTTTCTTTTTCTTCCACGTCAAACTCTCTAATTCCTTTTCTTATCATTTTTTGTCTTCTTCTTGTCGTCGTCAAATCTACCCCATTAACATTCCGAACCATCGGTGAATTATTCCTAGCCATTCGATTTTATGTGATTTGAATTGGGTTCTTCTAGCCACTTGACTCCACCCAGCGAGAGTTGACGTTTATCTATATCATTATCATCATCATCAGACATAGAGGAGAGGCGGCCACGCCCACTTCCGTTTACCGTAATAAAGGGGCAAGTTGCGAGAAGAGAAAAGGAAGATAAGTGCAGTCTTTTGCCTTCAAAATGGGATGTTTTTGGTCGGTCTTCAACGCCCACACTACTTTTTTTGCAGAACTTTTCTCTCGATTAGGTGCGTACTCATTCCATTGAAAAAGAAGACCACCGAATGAAAAGAGAAATATATATCTCATTCATCATTAGCAAAAGTTAGTTGCCCCCCTCCCACTTCCGATTTTCTCATCACCCCTTTTTGTTTCCGCAGCCGCCCCAGCTTTCTTTTCAATTTTTTCTTTCTTTTCGAGAGATGAAGAAGAGGACACTGAAAAAGATGAGTGCTTCATAGCATCACTTCTTCAACGCGCCTGGTGCCTGTGCGTGCCTCCCTGGGCTCAGCGCTCATCATCATTTTTTGCCTGTTCCAAACCTCGAGTTTAAAATCAAGATCCGCTCGCCGATCTTGAAGATTCTCTATTTCTCGCCAATCTCTCAATTCTGAATGAACATCCAATGTAGTAAAAAACGAGGGACGTCGGCTCTCCGATCTCTGTCGCATTGGCTAGGAAAAAAACAGCAAAACACAATGTGGCGATCGGCCATAAATCATGGGACGTCCCACTAATAGTGATTCTATTCTTGTGATTCTATATTTTCATCTCATCCATTTTCTTTATCTGAAGTCGTTTTTGTTTCAGATGGCGTTCCCAGAAACTGCTAGCTTGTTGCCCCAACTTCAAGAGCGATTCGAGAATGTTAGCTTCCTCGACACCATCCCAATTTTGCCAATGAAACTCCACTGGTAGCTCCTGATGCGGAAGTTGTCGCTGCTGCCCTACCATCAGCTCCATCATCAGCTCCAGCAGCAGAGCCAGAACCCGTTCCAGCAGCTCCCGTTGAAGAGCCAGTGGCAGTTCCAACCCCATCTCTTCTGCCAACTATCGTCCGCCCAACTCCAATTCCAACAGCTCAGTTTTTGGCTCCAACTACTCCAGCGTTCATTCTCCAACCAACACCAGCCCAACTTGGAATGAAGCGTAAGTTCTTACAAAAACTAGATAACACATTTTTGTTGCTATTTTAGGAAACAAGCGTCCTCGTCCTCTTGAGATAGACACCGATGAAGGTCTTTCTGCGTGGAAGATGTTCAAACGCGACGACAAACAGATGGACAAGTACGTTTGCAAAAACAATGCGTTTGTCATCGTTTTCTTATCATTTCAGAGTTCTTGACGGCGTTGGGTTCACCACAAGGTTTGCGCAGCTTCCGGAATTTACGCCAAAGGTAAGAGGAGTGATTAGAAGAACAGAGAACTTGTTAGGTGATTTGGGAGAGGAAAGGGGAGGGAAGCGATGTGATAAAATAAAATAAATTGGTCGAAAATCAAAAGAGAGGAAGAACAAATTTTATGTCTTTTTTCTCGTTTTCGATTTCCACTTTTGCTGTTCTCTGATCATCACATCTACAAGTTTCAGATCTACAGTGAAATTCCGTCGTCCCCAAATTTGCCAACTGCCGCATTCAAGACCCCGGGAGAGGGAACTTTCTTCTTCGGAGCCAATTTCAATGCCGAGGCGATTGCCAAAGGAGAAAGCCTCACACCACTCTCTGCTTCTACTCCAGTGACCCCAGCTGTCAAGTCGGTCCCAACTACTCCAATGTTCGGCGAGAGATCTAGCATGAAGAAGTTGTTGGAGGAGCGCAGAAAGTTGGTTGCCGATTTTCTCCGGGAAGAGGGACTTTTTCCAGACAGTGGGTTGAAACTTTCAGGGGTCCTGGACAACAGTTGATTTTTCAGATGACGTAATTTTCAAATTTCAAGAAGACCACGAAGATGTGTTCCCAAGTCGTATGGCTTTGATTCTCAAAATCCGTGAAGTTCGTCAGCGCAAGATGGCGACCAATCAAGGACCATTAAACTGCAATTCTAGTATGCATTAACAAACTATTTCATTTTTTATAAATTTAAAATTTCAGACCTTGACACCATCATCGCCGCCATCTTTGACAAGTATCCACTCGACGCATCTTGCTACACTCCAACGGTCAACGAAATTACTGTATAATAGGCACTACTGCTAGAACAAAAACACCAGACGTCATCTAGCTCAACCATTTATCTTTTTATATTTTTCCTAACACTCTCTCATTATATTTCTCCCATTCAGCCTATTCACTTTGTGTGCAACGTCTTCCCCCGCAATTTATTCATATTCCCAAACCAAAAAAACTAAGTCACTTGCTCCTTGCCATCCCACCGCCCGTAGCCATTTTCTCTTTAGCCCTGTGCGCATCGTCATCCCAACGTAGTTGTACTTTTCATACCCGGTTTCTTAGAAAATTCCCGTAATCCAGATTTTATGCATATATTGAATTCCCCGACTTTACCCCCGAAATGCACCTTTTTCTCACCAGAGCCTTCGAGGCATCCAATTTCGCAATTTTACCATCTTCGATCACAGTTCAAGTCGTTCATTTTCTTTTTCCATTTTGTGCACCCACTTCCCTTCCACATAGTGACCATTTTTTCTCTCCCCTCCCAAATTTCCCGCTGTGATCTATTCTGCTAGTTTCGTTGCTTTTATCTTTCCCCGACTCCCCCAAACCCCTTCCCAGTTGTGTCACAAGTTCTCTTCCATGTATTTTGGTTCAATGGTAGCTTATCTCTGTATAATTCTAGTTCTTCCAACATGTAATATTTTTTTCCACCCATTCGGTAAAATGCCATAATTCCTACCTTCCCAACACAAGTTTTGGCAATACAGTATTCCTTTCCCCAAATGCAATTCAATCCCCTTTTAGCTATTCAATTTACGAGCTTCTCATTTTCTATTTTTCCCAACCCTTCCACCAAGTTTCAGGAACTCCCTCTCTCATGGAGGATATTTATATTTATTTGTCATGTTTCAACCGAAATTCAACTCATTCTTAGAAATTCTAACTAGCTTGTCTTATTATACATTTTCTCGTTCATCACAATGACATTGTCTTTTTTCTTCCAATTGCTTCTTGTTCTGATTCTCAATCAGCCAGCAAATGCTTTTCGTGTGTGCACATAAAAATCCCCCGTCTCTCTCTCTCTCACTCCACTTGCATTCATTTGAAACTCATTTTTTTACAATAAAAAAATCGAAAAAAAAATTATGTTGTTGTTTTCATTGAAAAAGGAGGAATTCATTGAGGAAGAAGGGTTTTATTTTTAGAACTTAATTAAAAACAAAAACCGGAAGTGTTTATCGTCTCTTCTTCAAGTTTTGATAACCGGAAGCATAGTTGGACTGTCCTGCGTTACCGTAACCAGCGGGCACTGAACTTCCATACTGGTTGTTTCTGTTGTAATACTGTTGATCGGCGTATTGCTGATTGGAATTGAAGTTTCCGTTGGCATTACCGTAACCAGCTGTTACTGGGGCGCGATTGTTGTTATTGTAGCCATTGTTACCATAGCCGTTGTTGTATCCATTGTTGTATCCATTGCTACCGTACCCATTATTGTATCCATTATTATTATTATTATTATAGCCGTTGTTGTATCCATACTGAGAATCTCTATAGTTTTGAGTGGTCATCTCTCCTCCCGAACCAGCCGCATAGACTTGTCCGGTTACTGGTTGATTACTATTCGAGTCGCTGGATCCTCCAAACCAACTTCCAAAGGTGCAAGATTCACATTCACAAGTTGGATCATTCCCACTCAGAACACTTCGACAGGAGCCAGAAGAACAAAGCTAAAAATCATTTTATCATGTGATACTAATATGGATCACTTACTCGAACTTTACACCACGAAGTACATAATGGGTCGGTGAATGTCGATAGAATGCTACTTGAGGAACAAATTGTCACTGACGAAACTAAGGTCGAAAGATGAAGACAGAATAAAACCAGGAAACCGTTTCGAATCATTTTCTTTTGAATTTTACAATTGTTGTGTATCCCAAACTATTTATACCCAACGAAACATGAGTTCAACTCCGAAATACAAAAAGTAATTTGAGAGTTTTCTAGGTAAAAACTCTCCTCCTTCTTTTTTGACTCATTGCTTTGAATTATTTGAATCGAACAAAAGAAATGTGTTGACTATTTGACTGAACTACTAATATTGACTCGACCGCTCGCCTGAGAGATACCTTAATTTTGTTTGCCGTCTCTTTTCGGCACCTTGAATTTGTTTCTTTCGTTACTAGATCTCGGACAAAGTTCAGCTGCGTTGAGAAATTTGTTTGTTGATATAATGACGTTCAAGAAAACATGATCATTTGTCACATTGGGGAAAAATGTGAATTCAGATAGGGAAACGTTTGGAAAGGGGCATGTGAGCTTCAAATTTTTTTGAGTAAATCTTGTGGGAATTTCGAATTGGTTTTGTAGTGTTGCCTTGGGGGATTTTTGTTAGTGAATACGAATTTTGCCGCTATCAATTGTGCCAAAATATGAATCACGATCCAAACTAACTCTGATGAAATGCCTGACAGTCTTCTTTAAGCCAATTTATTTCAGTTCCTGTAGAGGATATCAAAAAGTGATCAACTGTCGAAATGCTTATCTTATAACCATAAAGTATAATGACTTGAACTTGACGGGCGTATTTTGGTAAAATGTTGGTGAACAGATACGAATAATATGCTTCAATTCAAATTTTGAAATACCGTATTTTGTCTAGTAGAAGCTCACCGAGACGGCCTACTTTGAACTCAATTATCTCGATTCCTGTAACATTATGGAAAAGTTTACAACTGATAAACTTGTTATCATATTGCTACCAATACTTTATTAGTTGCCAACTTTTTCGTATCTTTCACAGAAAGTGAGAAAATTGAGCTCAAAATTGACAGCTTAGGCGGGCTTCTAGTTTAGGAAATATTTTTGAATCAGACGATTTCTCATTCTCGCCGTGATTGTTATTTTTCCAATTTTATGGAATTCTCTGTCAAGGCTGATAAAAATTTTGATGTGAGATTTGAATGTCTCATCTTGTGAAAAAATTATTGATTTGAGTAATTTTACAATTTGAGTAATGAACCAAATTTTCGTTAGAATGTTTGACGGTTTTCCATTACTCCTGATGTTTGAGCAGTATTTCTACTTCAGTGATGTAACTTTTTAGTATAATATCCGAAAAAAAAACTCGAATATCATTTGGAAAAGTTTCTCGATAACGCTTGTAATATTTTTTTCAACAATTTTCCTAAAATTTTACTTTGAACTACATTCTGTTTTCACTTCCCCAGTTTCCATAAATAACTTTCTTTTTTGATAGAGATATCTCTTCATTCCTTTTCTTCAACTTCCTTTATCACTTTCTTTTACAGTAACCCAAATTTTGTTGCTATTTCGAAGGTAAGATACACACAACGCCCACAATCCATCAAATAATTTTATTGGAAATGGAAACGAGAAATTTGGTAGATGCCGGGGCAATTACTGTCTTCAATAAATCAATCACTGATATATTTTGATCAAAGTGTATCAAGAAGTGTGTGGGTGGATCTCAGTTTCGATCGTAATCATAGCTGTTTTGACTAGGATATAAATTGTCCTGGTTGCGCTGATTCATTGTTCCACCATTGAATGAGGATGAAGAAGACGACGTGGAGGGATTATCAAAGTTCAAGCGGGACTGCTGATAGAAACCATCATCTTCTGGGAAGATAACGTTTCCGTTGTTGTCTCTGTAGCATTTTTCACAAACGCAATTCGCTGTGTTTGTTGTCGTTGGGTTCTCTCTGCATTCGCCTTTACCGCACCTCTACAAAAGCAATTAAATTGTTTCGTCAAATGAAGAATAATGACAATTTATACTCAAATTGACAGGAACTCACTCTCATCCTACACCAGACATCACAAAGAGGATCGGTGAAAAATGATCCGAACTGGCCCCAATCTGTTCTTTTGGTAACACAAACGCTTTCAGAGTTGTCCGGAATAATGAATAGAATTACTGTACACAGAAAAATACAAGAGTAATGCATTGTTAGATATTTTTAGTTGGCGATACCTTTGTTCTGTTTTAAAGCAGTTATATAGGAGCCACAATGGCAAACAGTCGATAGAGAAAGTTCACAGATTCAGTTTGACCATAGGATTTCACGGAGAAACTGGCAGTAGCACATTGACTCATCTCTTTGTTTTTTACTGCCGTGCCAAAAATCAATATTTAATCACAGAATAATGATCATTTGGCTTTCAAATTACTTTAAACGAATCGACAGATTTTTGTTTGGTCAGCCGTTTCCCTAGCCAACTGACAAATAAGACGGAAGTGTTGCGAAATATTTGATATCTTCTATAAATGATATCAATTTCAAGGTTTTGAAAAATTCTCTAGTATGAGTAATCTTTTTTTTTTATTTCCTGATTCTGTTGAAATATATTTTGTGACAATTGTGTGTTTTGAGCCACACATTTTTCGTGATCTGTGCACTCAATATTTATTTATTTTGACTTTGGTTTCTCGAAGCTTGCAAAATCTTTGAAGGTGGAGCTGTGTTAGAAACTGCAGATGCATAGGTACTTGTAACAGATTTGCAGAAAACAAAATTTCGAAAATCCTTGATTAACAAAATTGCAACTAATGGATCCAGAGCGGGGTACAGGCCAAGGAAGGCTGCAGCGTTGTTGGCAGCTGCTCCTAATTCTATTCCAAACATGGGTAAAATCATTAGGCATCCCACTGGTATATACATTGTGAAAACTGGTAGTAATGTCTGTAAGTTGCACATTCTTAAATTTTTCAGAAAATTTTTCGAAACCTGAATGCCAAGAGTCATAAATAGCTGCTTGTTGAGCTCTTTTGTTTTTGAGCTCATGTGAGATGCGTGGCTTCTCATTTGTTTCAAAGCTTGATATCCACAAAAAACAATCACAGAAAAGCATACGCTCATTAGAAAGCTCATGTAGGCACAGGAAAGTAATTGAGATGGTAACCATGTACTAGTTTGAGGATCCTGAAGAAATATTGAGCTAAATCACCGGAATCTAGCAATACCTGGAACATCATTGCCACAAACGATGCTTCAAAAGAATTTGTTTGAAAAGTTTTCATCAAGACGTCACTGAAAACATGGATCAGAAATTGAGAATTCTTCGAAAAAAAAACTCACTGATAATGAATCTCTCTCATCTCGTCGGGTGCCATTGGCCAATAAGTTGTCATGGACCACGTGACAAATATAAACAATGACGGTGAAAATGTGAGGAAAATATGTTTCCCATTAAAGTAACGCATCTTGTCTGGTCTGAAAAACACTCCTTATCACACTAACTAGAAACAATAAGTCAGTACTTGCAAACTGCAACATATCTGTAGAAGAAATGAAGTGTTAAAAGTGAAATGCACATCCCGAAGGAACCACAGTAGATCGCTAAAAAATTTATGTTCTAATTAGTTTTGCATTCTGAAACCAACATGTCAATGGGACTCCAATTGGACGATACAATCTTAATGGTCCGTTAGAGCAAACGCACAGTGATCTTCCTTTGACAAACATCACCTGAAACTTTTGAATCACCAGTGAAAGACTAAATTAAACAAAATTCAATTTTTAATAAAAAATTTCTATCAGAGATGGGCGGAGTTCCTTATTCATTTTTTCTCCCTGATTTTATATTCGTATTCTTTATTCCTTTCACATTCTTCCGGGAAATTTGAGCAATTTCCAATAGAATTTTTTCAAATTTCAAAAGTTTAACCTGAACTGCCACTTAATATGTAATGTAATACAGCCTAAATTTTTCTTCTATGTGTCCGGATGTTTAAATTTCATTCAATGTTTTGTTTTGAGTCTTCCGGATTTTTTACTTTCATGCCTTCTTTTGTATTAAAAAGTTTTATTCTGCTGATCTTCAACTTCTTCAACTCTATAAATATTAACTTTGATAATTGCAAAACGGTGATTAATCACACGTTTTGTAGACAGGGCCGAGGGACACCAGGGGGTTTTCGGGGCCGAAGCACACCTAGCAAACACGGAAGGAAGAGGATGGGCCGAGGCGTCATCATTCTGACCGCGGCGGGGTTGAACCAGAGTGTACGAGGACCGAAGTACCGCACACAACCACTCAACCACGCTGCTGCTGAGAGAGAGGACACCATGACTCGTATATGAATGAGAGGCGGAGATGAGGGGGGAAGAGAGGGAGTTGGTCCGTTCGATAGAAAAAGGGGGAGGGCTCAATGGTCCGCAATAAAGAACGCACACATTGCGTGCGCGCACACACATACATCACGTGAAAGGACCCGTCAATTCTATTATGAGATATTAATGAAAAGATGCCAAGAGTCGGAGCTAAATAGGAAATAGAGAAACTCATTAATATATTGAGTAATAAAGGAACACGCTTCCAGATTAATGAAACTGGTGGAAAAAAAACTAACTTAACTTTCGAATAAATGAATGAATGAAAATGAGTAAATAAAAATGAATGAATGAGAAAAAAGGAAAAAGAAAAAACTCACAGGTAACGTTAGCACCTCCACAAGTGAATACACAATAGCGAATAGGCAGAAAACTATCATTAGAATACGATATTTTCCAAAATTTCTGTGAGCTCGAGTGTGCAGTAAAAACAATAGAAATGAATTTAGAACCAGGGACCCCAAAAATCCAAAATATTGAAGAGATTCCACAATTTGTTCCATTTTTTAAAATTTTTGGATTTTAACTGAAAAGCATTTCCATATGCTTTTATATATGAAATACCAACGAATTATGTTCCATTCAAGTTGTTTTCGCAGACTGATTTTCACAATTAGTGATAATCGTGACGTTATGTAGAATGATTTTTGAAAAAGGAATCTGGTTCATATGACACAATCAAACACTTTAGAGGATTGTGGATATCGTCAATGTAACTTAAAGATGAAAACAATGATAAAGTGTTTTCTAGTAATTTTGCCTATGGATTTCATTAGACAAGTGTGACGCATGAGCAGAATCTCAGAGGTCCCACAGGGTTTCCCTTAAAGCTGACATCTGAACACTTAGTTATTACATCTTCTTCAACGAAAATCGAAAAAGTTTTCGGAGTATATCTGTTTATCCCGTATTTGAGAAAAAAACAAAGTTAAGAGTTTTGTAAAATGAGGGGAACACACAAAAAAGATATATGGACAAAAAAGATATATAGAAAGTTTGAAAAAAAGAAATTAGAATTTCCTTTTAAGATGCTTGAAACGTGGATGTTATCTTACTGGCGATTCCAGAAGTTGTCGAAACCTTGGCCAACGTTCTTTTTTGGCAGAAAACGTAGTTTCGGAAATCTTTAATGAGCAGAATTGCAATAAGAGGGTCCAAAGCAGGATAGATGCCAAGAAATGCTCCAGTTTTGTTCGCTTCAACACCAAGTTCTACTCCGAAAATGGGGAGAATTATAAAACAACCAACAGGAACGTACATGGTGATTAACGGTAGAAGAGTCTAGAAGATAAAATGATTTCAAAAATCTTGGGTTTACATGGTACCTGGATTCCAAGTGTCAAGAACAATTGACGATTTAGTTCTTTGGTCTTTTTGCTCATTTCGGTTCCACAACTTTTCATTTGCAAAAATGCTTTGGATCCATAATAAATGATTGCAAAGAAGCAGCTATCCATGATAAAACAACACCCAAAGAACGGAACTAATTGATCAAAATTCCAGTGTTCTGGTGATGTTTCAGTAGCAGGCGACTTGTAAAGCATTGAAATAAATGAAACTTTATGAGAGTCCACATTGTAACTTCGGAAAAGAACATCGCTGAAAACGAAACACATAAATTTATAAGTTTCAACTAACTCACTGATAAATATTCTCCTTTTCTTCATCATATCCCATCAGAAAATAAACGTTGCATGTCCATGCGACAAATACAACAAAACAAGGAGCAATAGTAAGAATAATACGTTGTCCTTCAAAGTAGTATACCTTTTCTGCCCTGAAATAGTTTTATACTCAGACAAGAATGAAGTTCCTGCCACATGCCAGCGGCAAAAACTATTGTGGTCACAGTTTCTTAAAGTTCCTGCCGATGGGTTAAGGCACTGGGTTTAAAAAAAGTTCCTGCCGCTGCCCGGCGGCAGAAACTTCATTTTTGTCTGAGTATGTATAAGATTCCAGCTTTGAACTCATCTGCAAACAGCAAGGTATCTGTAGTAAAAATGTAGAGCTAATAGAGAAATGCACAATCCAAATGATCCGCAGTACACAGCTGAAAATGACTGTACATACGTGTTTTTCACATTTTCCCAATTACCAATTAATGGGACGCCTATTTGTCGGTATAAGGTGAACGGACCATCAGAGCCAAGAAAAAGTGACCGACCTTTGCAGAACGTTACCTGTAAGCGACAGATTATTTTTTAGTCTTCACAAAACTATAACTCACGGGAAGTGTCAAAATTTCAATCAGTGAGTATACCATAGCAAATATAGAGAACACCATCATCAGAACGCGGTAACGGCCAAAACTGCTGTTGGCACGAAAATATAGCAAGTATAAAAGAGTCACGTTTATGACTTGGGCAGAAACAAAACCACCATATTGGATGTACTGAACTAATTTCTCAACATTCATGTCTGGCAGATTCAAGACTTGACAAAATTTTGATTCTCGACCCTTATTTAAGCGATCTACAGCTAAACCTAATAACAATCAGATTCTATTCAAGCGGATGGTTCCGATATTTTTTGAGACTGTTTTTTTTTTTGAATTCCATGATGTTTGTTGCTTCCGAGAACATTGGCTTTTTGAAATATTTGAATTCCGGTTGATTGAAAGTTGTTTTGGTGGTTTACTTCCTAGAAAAACAGTTTTGGTTACAATAGTTCAATTATCCGCCCAAAAATTTTAAGGTGGCCCCACAGATGTCGTTTTTCCCGTTAATCAAAATTCAATATTTTTGATTTATCATTGCGTAGACTCGATTTTGATAACTGGAATATGCATTCCAGTTAAATCATCCCGGCAGGAAGATTATCAAATTTACACAGCGAAAACAATTTTAATGTGAGAGTTTTTAATTTTATCAAAACTGAAAAATAACATTTTGATACATCAGAAAAATAAAACACTAAGTGCAAAAATGCTTTGAAAATTTTTATGTATTTGAAATTTGGTTCCTTGAAACCTGGAAGAGAAAAGCCATCGTACTTTCTACATCGACCTTTATAATTTCGGTTCAATGAAAGAAAAACGGCCAATATCCTTCTCGATACCATGTTGAACACTTTAAAATTTAACCTTTTTAAAGAATGATTTCCTAAAAAACCAAATGTAATTGGACAGTAGCGCGTCTCACACAAGTTGTATTAATGTTAACTAGGACCCGGCTTTTCAAACGTCCGGCTACGGCACAAGTTTGTCTCTCCGCTCCTCACTGTTTGACACTAATTCAAAACTAATTTCAATTCGGTCTGACCCATTTGATTTTTCAAAATATTTTTTCCCTCTGGGAAAACGGGATGGCATACAAATTAAAATAGAATCAACACTTCATTTATTTATAAGAATGATGATGAATTAGTTTTCAACAAATTGTTGTCTTTTTGATTCCAATCAATTATTGCAAGTTTATTAACAACGAAATACAAAAATGATGAAAAAACGTTGACAATGAAATAAATGTATTGGCTGATTTCATGCTGCCGATTTCTCTTTATTTCCGCCTGCTGCTGTTGAAACTCTTCCAAATGCCTTTTTTCGACCGAGCACATGATTCCTAAAATCTTTGATCAGAAGAATGGCAATCAACGGATCCAGGGCAGGGTACATCCCAAGGAATGCTCCAGTTTTGTTCGCCCCAACTCCCAACTCAATTCCAAAAATCGGAAGAACTATGAAGCAACTCGCAGGGAGATACATGGTTATAAGAGGAAGCAACGTCTGGAAAAATAAGGGTCTATACTAAAAGTAAAGTACTTCTGAATGTTAACCTGCATTCCTAGTGTCCAAAGTAACTGACGATTGAGCTCTTTAGTTTTTTCACTCATATGAACTTGACAATTTTTCATTTGTCGTAATGATTGAGTTCCACAAAAAATGATCATATTGAAGCAAACACTCATTATGCAGCAAGTTGAGAAAAATGGTATGAGATCATGAGTGTTCCAGTGTTCTACGACAGTTCCGTTGGCAGGTGACCAAAATTTTATCATTTTTTTATTTATCATAATTTTACCAACACCTTGTATAGCATAGAAATGAATGAAACTTTGTGAGAATCCAAGTCATAATTTTTCAGTAAAATATTGCTGAATATTTTTAATTAAAAAAGTTAATTTATAGAATGGAACTCACTGATAGATGCGCTCTTTCTCTTCAGTGACATCCATGAAAAAATACACAAGTAATGACCAAATTACAAATATGATGAAGCAAGGGGAAAGAGTGCTAATAATTTGCTTCCCTTCAAAATAATACAGTTTTTCGGGTCTGAAAAGTTACTGAACATGTTTTTTTTCTCAAATTTGAGAAACAACTTGCAAATAGCAATGTATCGATAAAAGAAATGAAGAGCCAGCAAAGATATACACATTCCAAAAGATCCACAATAGATAGCTGAAAACAATGATATCTGATATTGACTGTTTTGTTATTCTTACATAATAATGGAACACCTATCGATCGATACAATGTGAAGGGACCATTAGAGCAAACACAAAGAGATCGACCTTTGCACATCATAACCTGAAATAGTAATTTCCATATTTTATACTTTTTGAAACTTCTAGTTCACCGGGAATGTTACCACTTCTATCAAAGAGTAAATCATTGCAAAAATGGAGAAGACAATCATTAGAATTCGATAACGTCCAAAATTATTGCTTGCTTGAAAGCAAAGAAGGTACAAAAGAAGTGCGTTAATCAACTGAGAGGACACAAATCCACCGTACTGAATGTACTCAATCAGCTTATCAGCGTCCATGTTGAGAAATACCACAAATTCTTAGTTTTCGTGGTTGATATTTAAACCATATTTGGCTAGACGGTTTTGCAATCAGCCGATATTCAAAATTGCTTTCCTGTATACCCAGACTGTTTTGCTCATTTCAGGAAATTGTGGATTTTGTTGCCAAAACATGTTGTTAAATTCTTTATTTCGAAATTTCAATCAGTCATGATTGGGACTGACTATTTTACTAAATCATGCATAAAATTTCGTGAGATTTCTAGGGAATCAAGAATCAGAAAAACATCTTCCTAGACTTGTTTTTTTTCAAGTAAGCCTTTTTCAAGTATTTTGAAGTTATCGAACGGCTCTTATGAATTCGCATTATTAAAATCCGAAAAACAAGTTCTGTACTGACAGTTTTGCAGTTTTAAAATCTAACATCTCATATGCATAAGCATGACAGATTCCAGCTACGAAATTGAATGACAAATCTCCGGAATAAATAAAACAAGAAATTAGTGTAATAAGTTTATTGCGATAAATATTTTGCTCTTCCTATGTAAACGTACATACAAACAAATTGAAAACCCAGGACAAAATTATTAATAAATTATATCATGAAGTAATTATTTCAGACGATTAAGCAGTTGCCTTCTTCAACTCTCCAGTTGCTTCCAATGCTCTGTAAACCTCACTTGGGTTGAGATTCTCATGAAGATAGTTGTATTTTCCGTTCTTGAAGTCCTCAACCATATGCCCTTCTCCTCTCAACAACCATTTCGTGGTGAGAAGTCCCTCAACTCCAACTGGCCCCCGAGCATGAATTCTTCCAGTTGAAATTCCAACCTCAGCTCCGAGTCCAAATCTGTATCCATCGGCAAATCTGGTGGAGGCGTTATGAAAAGCGCATGCGCTGTCAACGTGCTTCAAGAAGTGCTCAGCAGTGTTGGCTGAAAAATGAAAATTAGTTATAGATTTCGCAAAACCTTGCAAAACTCACTGTTCTCCGTGATGATAGACTCGGTGTGTCCAGATCCGTAGCGGATGATGTGAGCGACGGCTTCCTCGACATTGTCAACAACCTCAAGTGTGCATTCCAATGATCCGTATTCGAACGACATGCTTTCTGCTGGTGGTGGAGCGAATTTGAGAAGAGCAGCGAGTTTTGGTCCAGCGTGAAGTTTGACACCTTCCGCCTTAAACATGCTGCACAAAGCATCAAAGAATGGAGCAGTTGCAAGATCCTTGTGGATGAGAATGGTCTCAGCGGCGTTACAAGCTGATGGATAATCGCATTTGGAGTCACGAACGATTTGAATGGCTTTCTGCTCATCACAATCTTTGTCGATGTACACGTGGCATACTCCCTCGGCGTGTCCCAAAACTGGGATTCCCTTGCTCTTCTCTTGCATAGAACGGACCAAATCAGAAGACCCTCTTGGGATCACCAAGTCGATGAGATCCTACAATTTATTTTGTTTTATTTTCTGTTTTCTAGAATCTGTGCAAAACAAGCAAACCTTAAGCTGAAGCAGATCAGCGACATCTTCTCTTGATCTAACCAATGTCACAGCATCTCTCATTTCAAATCCATGTGTTCCGAGAGCCTCCTGAACAAGGGCATGAAGTGCTTTGTTGCTTTCCTCGGCTTCTTTTCCTCCTTTGAGCAAAAGTGCATTTCCAGAAGCCATAGCAAGCGAGGCAACTTGGGGAAGGCAATCTGGACGAGACTCGAAAATAACCATTAGGCTACCAATTGGGACGGTGACTTGTTCCAAAAATAGTCCCTCGGAGACTTTGACCTTCTTCAGTACTCTTCCGACAAGTGTCTCGGCTGAATCAGCGATAGTGTTCAGGCCAGCATGTAAATCTTGGATTTTCTCTGGAGTCATCTTAAGTCTGTTGAGAAGTTGAGGGTCAATTCCGGAAGATTTAGCATTGGCAAGATCGGTTTTGTTAGCTTCGATGATGTACTTCTCCTTGTCAACCAGGAGAGCAGCCAAGTGACGGACCATGGCTCCACGTTCTTTGTTTGAAAGAGCAGCAAGTTGACGTCCAGCATCGCGACCTATAAATTTTCAAATAAAATTTTAATATTGAACAACCAGTTTCAACTTACACTTCTCAGCAACCTCTTCAATTGGTGGTCCTTCGTATCCTTTTGTGTGGCAGAACATAGTTCCAATTTTCTTTCCAGCAACAGCATCAGTGATAGCATCCTGAGCAAGTCCATTGGTGATTACAGTGGTTACTCCATTTTGAAGAGCATTCACACAAGCGGTGACTTTGCTCTCCATACCACCGGTTCCGAATTTACTGTTTGCTCCGAAAGTGACTCCAGAGTTTTCAGATGGAACGTAGGTGTGAAGAAGTCGTGATCCCTCAAGATCTGGTGGTCCGGTATAGACGCCATTGACATTGGAGAGAATGATCAGAAGTTCAGCCTCGATTTCTGCAGAGAGTCTAGCGGCCAAAGAGTCGTTGTCGGAGATGTGCTGCAAGTTTTTTCATATGGTCAAGCTTTATGCGTCACACAATGATGTCAAGGGGCAATTATTGGCCACAATGCAACGTTTTCCTTGTTCAACTTCCTTCCTGTTCGCACACTCACCATATTTAATTTTGGATCTGGGGCAACTGCATCATTGGCATTGACGATTGGGATGATATTCAAGGAGAGAAGGCTCTCAATAGTGGCTTGAAGATTCTTTCTGCGTTGATCATCGTCGATATCTGGTTTGGTGAGAAGTACTTGAGCAACGGTGATTCCGTATTGTTGGAAAAGTTGTTCATAGAGAGACATGAGCCCTGGCATTCCAGATGCGGCACACGCCCTTTTGTCAGCAGTCATTCCAGATGGACCTCTGCAAACATATTGTACTGCTACATAATAAAGTTAATTCAAAATCTAAATGTTACAAATTACACTTGAAGTTACCTGAGAGTTTGACGCATGCTCATACTCATCACAAGCTCTTGACGAAGTTTTTGTCTTCCAAAAGCGACGGCTCCAGATGAAACAATCAGCATTTGACGTCCGGATTGTTGGAGTTCAGAGACCTGTCAAATTTATTTTGCTACTTTTTCCTTGTTTACATGTATTATTTTTTGCAATTTTTCCTTATCCCGGGGTATTATCTTGATAAACCAGTTCCTGGGTTACAACTTTGTGTCCATGAATTTGCAGAAGTCAGTTTTAATGTCTAAATTATTTATTTTGGTTTTATCAAGTTTTCTTCCTGGATGATTGGGAGGTAACATTTAAAATCAGGTGTTTTACCTAGACACCAGGATACATAGATCTCTACCAACAAAATTATTGCTCATTCATTATTCCAGCCTTCTGGTAGGTAGAAAAATATGTTTTCCGTGTTTCAGTTTCATTAGAACTTCCTTAATAATTCTAAGAAAATTGTCTCAAAAATTATTCAGAAGTTTTTAGAAATGACGTTTGTTATGAGTTTCCAGAATTCGTTCTAGAAAACTACACTTGTCAATGTCTTTTTCCTCATTTTTTAAGTAGAATGGAGTAACACGAAAGAAAAAAACTTCCCGAAATAACATCACATGTAATTGGGGCCACCCCTCATTTTTTTTCGCCTTTGCTTCCTGTCCCAAACACTGACCTGTTCAACAATTGAAGCCAATCTTCCAAGTGCCAGACCACACTCATCTTCTCGTGTGATCACAGCGCTTCCAAGTTTGACAACAACTCTTTGCGCCTTTTTCAAATCATTTCTGGTGCTGATAAGTGGATGCTTTTGTCTCGTCTTCGTACTGTAACTATTAAAAGGAATTCGTTGTTTGGTGTACTTTCGCCCCGGTCACTTTTAATTCTTTTCTATTCCCTTTATCAATTTTGACCTTCCCTCACTAATCAGTCGTTTATAACAGTAAACACACAGGCATAAGTAGATTTTTAATACCTTGTTATTTTATCATGTTCCACACCATGTTATAGATAGTTCAAAAATATGAGAAGAGTGTTTGATTCGGGTTTAAAAGCTGATTGCCTATTCAGAAAAAAAACGTGGATTTGAGTCGAATCATTCGACCTTAACGGCAGTCTGAGCTACTTTTCAGATCTTCTCAGAACTTCACAAATCCAAATCTAGATCAAAATAATTATAGCTCAAAAAAAGGAAATATTTTCAAGTCATTCCTTTTTTACTACTTTTCACTTTTTTGTCCCTGAACTCACCAATAATTTCCGTTAGCATCTCCAACTGGTGTAGCTCCCACAGCTGTGATTGGGCTCACTTTCTCGTATGGTGCCAATTGGGACGATCTGGTTTTGATCAGCTCAACCTGAATGGATTAGTTTATTTTTATGACATTTCTTGGATAAGAATACCTGTGATGGACGGAGAATGTTGACATGAGAGTTTCTGAATGGAATCCGGAGACACCGTGTAACTCGGAACATGTTTACTGAGAGAGCCTGAAATTGTTTGTAATTTAGTTTGAGAATTAGATAATTTTTTTTGGAGAGACAAAAAAGAATACCTTATTGAACATTTCAGGAATAAAAGAACCGAAATTTGCTGTTTTTGTAGTTTGACCGAAATTTGCTGTTTTTGTAGTTTGAAAAAGCCTAATAACTATCCAATTTTTATACCAGACCTTAGCGCTGCACTGTTATGCTCGATTGCACCATATTTAGAAACGCAACGCCATATTTTTTTAAAGGAGGAAACAAAGAGAAGACGTGACCCACGTAGAAACAGAGAGAAACTTGAAAATTAGACGTTGTCAATTCAGTCCGCGCCTATTCATCGCGCTGTTATCTTCATCCCCCATTCTGCCTTCCACGCACTAATCCGGTTCCGCAGTCCGTTGTAATTTATTTCTACCCGTTCAAATTGCAAGTGATAATCATATAATCAGCAGACTTCGGAAGCGGACGGGTATGGGTAGATTTAAAATGTTGCTAAGTTCTTGCAGTCTTTTTTTTCACAAAACATTTGATACTCTGTTCAAAGAACTGTTGGTCAGAAGTATTGAGATGGGATGGAATTCACGTGAAGGCAGAGTTCAAAATGCATACTAGTTACAAAGTACAAAAATGAAGATAACAGAAGTTATTATAGATTCTGAGGATGGTAAAGTTATTAGGGAATCATCAAAAGCTTAGCCATTTGATCTAATAACAAAAAAATTTTCATTTTGCACGCAATTTACGCCGGGTTTCAATTTTATGTGTATCAAAGGGCCACCTAGAAAACAGGATTCGGACTATTAGTTCCTTGATATCTCTCTCAAAAATAAATGATCTAAACTATGCCTTCTTCATTCGAAAAAATGGTCAAAGGGCAAAATCATAAAAATGGAAAAGGTAGAAAAACAAAGAAGGAGTTTGGTCGACACTGGTCATCACCATATGACTGGAATGGTCGAGAATGACTGATGGTTTACTCCCCGACCACAACTCGTATATTTTTTGATAAGATAAGACTCTCGAGGGCTCACTGTTGCCCGACTCCGCCCATTTTCTTTTCCTCCGTCTTCGCAATCAATCACGTTGTTGGACCCTCCTATCCTAATATCTTATCGTCTCCTAGTGGTCCCTTGATGGACTGGATACGCCCTGAGGAAGATAGGATAGGAATAACAACCAGGATATAAAATAACAACATGAGAGGAAGTTCTGATCTTGGGAAGATAAACTTTGAAAAAAATTCACAAAAGTAAGGTTTCAATTGAAATTTAATTTTGAAGCCAAGCGCGATATATATATCAAAGCTCGGACGAAATTTTGGATAAATTAGTATTACAAAATGGCACGTAAACACTCAGAGGTTCTGTGATGCTAGGAAACCGACAGAAGCATTTTGGGACTTCACATAATACAAGAGCTTCAGAACTCCCTTCTAAAATGTGTTCTTCACCATAGTTGTATTCCGTAGATTTTTAACAATAACAACTGATTTTCTATTTGACATTCATCCGTTAATTGGGCACCTGAAGTCTGCCACCTGAACCATTTTGTAATAATGAAAGTAGATCTGACTTATATGTTAGTGATTTGGTGGAAAGCAGTTTTTGAAGGAAGGTGGAATCATTTATGATTTTTGTCATACTCGCTTTCCTGATTTATATGAATCTAACGTTGATTATTCTAGAATTTTTGTTGTAGTTCTCCAGAACTTCCTCCTTTCTACCATCAATCTACCTTTTACAATCGGTCAAGCGCTATGCGTGTTGACCGTTTTCCATGCTCCTCTCTTATCAGTAACCCCAGTGTAGAACTTTCTGTCGGTCACTTCAGCTCCATCGTATCAAATTTAAAAGCGACAACGAAATAATGATATTGAGACCGATTATGATCTCATTCAAACTTAAATGCCGAAGGACAAACCAACTTGAATTTTGAAGACGCGAAACGTCACTGGTAGCAGGTGGAATGTTTTGTAAGAATTGGAGCTCATGGTGATGAGGTCATGTACATAAAGTACGGACGGTCTCAAACGATCACAAAACTTGGCAGCTGTTATTGGGTCGAAATATTGGGGAATCTAATTTTCTCATCAATTTGGACATATTTCTATTTTTAACGTTTTTCGAAGTCTTGTCTGAATTGTTTGTGTGTTTTGGTATTCGGATCATAGACTTATGATCATCAAGACTTTTGGCTATGATTCATTCTGTTTTTTTGGTCTGTATCATTCCACCTGTAATCTAAAAGTTATCAATTATTCACTATTTGACTGTTAATCAAAATCGAACACAATCGAACACATGATTAGTAGCGGTCTGATCCAGCATTTGACCTCCTACCAGACAATGTAGGCGAGGTCACAAAAAAACTCCATTCCTTTTTTGGATTAACTGATTTACCTTTGTTTTTTTTTATTCCTATTTGTGAAGTAGATAGAAATGAGAGTCAATGACGTTTTCAGAGTTGTTCCTTTTTTTCTTCACTATGTAATTAAAATTTGATGATTCCAGGAAGAAAAAATAGGCTTTAATGTTCACATCCTGTTTGTTTATACTATAAAACAGGTCACTTAAATATGAATGATGTTTTTTTTGTGTTTGGGATAACTCCACTCACTTGACTGGATAATAACGGTTTGGCATTTTAGCAACAAGTTATTACACACGATGAGAGTAAAAAGTTGAGAGATGAAAACTGAAAAATGAAAACATTCTCGTTATTGTTTTCATTGTCTGCGTTTTCATTTTAAAATTATTTTGAATGTTGCCAACTCATTATCCCAGTTCTTCGGAATATTTGTTCTTATGAGAATTAACAGTTGTCAAAAAATACGGAGGTCTCAAATTTGGTTGCAAACAGTGTTTGTAATTTTTCAAAATATGTTTTAACTATGATGATCAAAACATAATTCAAATTTTTTGAATTCCTCTGCCCCTCTCCCTCATTTTCCTTTTTTTCACCACGTCTCGAACATCCTCCGCCACATAAAAAGAGAAGGAGCTAGGTGGGCGTAAAAGCAATATAATTATTTTTTGGACATCATACTTTATAAATAATTGGAAGAAAGACTGACACGCGCTGTTTTAAGCCATATCTAAAAGCTCTGTACGTCCGCCCGGACCGTCCACTTTGAGCCTATATATCTCACTTTTTTTGAGAGATATCAAAAAGTTGTCAACTAATAAAATGTTTATAATAATATCAGCAACGTTTCATTAATCACTTTTTTATATCTCTCGTAGAAAAAAAATGAGATACATAGGCTCAAATTTGACGATTCGGGTGGCGTTCTATTAGAGTTTTTACGGTATGTTGTTTTTTTTTCTAACAAAAACTCCTGTAGATGGTCTTTAAAAATTGTAACAGAATAAATTGATTTTTTACATGGGTTTTTTATGTCAAATGTTTTGAAGGAGACATTTAAGATTACGAACCAAGAAAATAATATTCATATTTCACTTCAATTCATATACCGTGAAACCTGCAATAAAAGAGATCTCAAAAAGTGTTTAACTGACAAAATGATACTGATATTATGATCAACATTTTGTCAATTGGTCACTTTCTGGTATTTATCAAAGGAACCGATATAAATTTAGTCAAATTAAAAAATTAGGAAGCCTTTCTATTACAGGTTTTTTGCTGAAAATAAGCTAGATGGAAAGTACAGACTATTCTTCTGACTGGTTACACTAACTTTAGCACTATTCTCAAATGCAAGCTATTTCATCAAGAAACCTTTTTCTATTGTCTTACACTTCATGATTTTATGTGTGGTCCATTCAGATTAGCCCAGCTGAAACTTTGGAAAATCTTCGCTTTACGTAATGACGTCAGAAACGACACTACATGTATACAAACAGATTTGTTGAAAATTCAGTAAATTAAACTGAATTGAGTTCTGAACTTTTTGCATCTGCTTTCAGGACCAATCCATACGAATTATTTCAGTCTAATATTGTGATCTATGAGAACTCCCGTCTGAATTTCATATGATTGAATTAAAAGAATTCTGGATCAGAAGTGATGAATCAGAATTGAACTTCTTTATATTAATTTTTAAATTTTTCGACATTTAGAACATCATTTTGGAAAACATAAATTTTATCCGGAAATGTGTGTCAGACATCAAATTCTCCATTGAAGTTTATCAAGAGATGAAATTTTTGGTTTTAAAATTTCTGATTTTGAATCTCACAATCAGTTTTAAAAAGCTTAGTTCAGTAAGCCCGTCATGAAACAACAAGTTGCCGAAACTGCAATGTATTTCCTACTTTTAAGAAATGCCAGGAAGCTTAATCCTACAAACTAGGACGATAAACACTTATGATGTTCTCCGAACCACCATATGTTCCGAATTTAGAATTATGGAAAAGCTAGTACATGTAACTGTTATTTTGGGATTTTTTTTTGAAAAGCCACGTGATTCACGTTTTTGAAAAACTGCGTCAGAAATTATTTACCAGACAGTTTTATTGGCCCTTCTTAAATTTTTACCCGTTAAATATTTCTTCCCGTGTCCATGTTATTTTGTTTTATGGTTTTATTTTGTTCATCGCTTTAATTGACAACTGACTGGGGGACCAAAAATGTGGTCGACTAATCAGTCGAAAACTCACTGCCGGGGTGGGCCATTTTTGTTTTTGACAACCCATTGTCCACATTTTTTGTTAAAATTTGGACGCTGACCAAAAAAATAACACAAAAATCGGGTTTCTTGTTGTACTATCATCTTTTAGTGGAATTTTTAATTTATTGAGTATGTGTTTTTACTATTCTCTGATTCTTATGAAAAAGAAATGATCACTTGGTTTTCGAAATAATTTTTAAACTAAAAAGTCATCCTAAAATCTTTGGATGATCTGATCACAAAAATGTGATTTCTTCCATTGCAGCTGCACCCTGAATAAGTTTAGTTGTAATGGGAGGGCAAGTCAATAGAAGCAAAATTCTGATCAGACTAAATTTACGTAATCACTCCTGAAACT